TGATCAAGTCTGCTGTTGGATCTCTTGAGTGAAATTTCAGTTTGTTATTCTGTTCTTCAGCTTCAAAATTTCTGTTTACCTCCTTTTATATTTCTTATTATTTATTCTTATATTTTCATGTATATTTTTCACTATGCTTGTTGAAAATTATTTGTATGAAAGTTATTTTGAATTCTTTGTCAGATAATCTGTGTCCTTTTGTTTGTTTGGAAACATTTTCTAGATATTAATTTTGTTTCCTTGATTGGGATATCTTTTCCTCTTTTCTTTGTGTCTTTTGTAGTTTTGAGGGAATCCATACACATTTATGCCTGGCATGCTTAAGATTAGTAAAACACAGCCATTGGCCAATGCTTTGTGTTTCAAGAGACATCATAGTTGCTGCATAATCTGCAAACATCTACTCCACCTTCCATTTATTACAGAATGTGACCGCTGCTGGCTTCCCTTGTGTTGAGGATTTGCCCTCCATCTTATTGCTATGGTGTCACTGGGCAGTATCAATACTACTTTGTTTCTTCACCATATATGAAGCCAATGCCATCTCCTTCTGAAATTCAAACATTGTTCTATACATTTCTCTGTTGTGAACTTTCAACAGTTTTCCAGGAATCTCCAATTTGTTCTTGCAGAAATTCCCATGCTGATCAATGGGTGACCTTCTAGCAAATGTAATATCAGTGGGTAACTGGTAAACCAATTGTCACATTGGACATTTTGTTTTCTTTTTTTAAATAGGTGCAACAAGTCTGTTCATAACATTACACCATTTATTATTGCATGAATAAACACCTAGCTGCTGAGTTTCAGCATAAACTTCTAAATTAAAGACATGGAATGACTTTGCATCTACAAGGCTATGCATTTTTATACCATATCTGGAAGGCTTATTTGGTGTATATTGCCAGAAGCTACAAGGACCAGGAGACGATCAAATCGTTCATCAATTGTCACGCATTTGGAGAGTGTACAAATTGCTGGGCAGTTTGAAACAAAGCTTTCAAAAAAAGCAAATTTCAGCCAAATTGTCAGGGTTTTCTCTCTTTTTTAAATGATTACAAAGATATTATAAACAAACATTTATTTATTTATTTTGAGATAGGGTCTCACTATGTAATTCAGGCAGGTCTTGAACTTACAGCAATTGTCCTGCCTCAGCCTCCCAAATAAGGCAATTACAGGCATGCACCACCACCCCTGGCTATAAATAAAGTTTAAAAATCTGAAATCATACATTTGCCAAACATAACAGAGAAAAGATTAATGTTTTTTTGGGTTTTTTTTTTTTTTTTTTTTTTTTGTCTTTTTCATTTTTATCGGTACCAGGGATCGAACTCGCAACTGCCTGCTTGCAAGGCAGGTGCTTATGCTGCTGAGCTAAATCCCCAGCCCGAAAAGATTAATGTTAATAATGCATGAAAAGCTACTTAAGAAACAAAACCCAAGTCATTTGTTAGAAAAAAAGAGGGAAGGACAGACTGCGGCCAGGGATTTGTGTGTGGACCAGCGCGACATCTAATAACACATGGGAAATGTCCACTTCTCTGGTAAAGGAGATGGAGTCAGAACTGGAACAGACAATGTCTCAGCCAATCAACTGGACAAGCACAGTGGCTCAGAATGTCCAGTTTCAATGAGGTTTCAGGAGAACAAACACCTGGGCACGCCTTTATTTAGTCTCCGTTCTGGGACGGAACTCTGGGCCTTTGGATTGAGGTATGCACTTCACTGGCCACTTTTTATCTTCTGTTTTGAGGCAGGGCCTTACAGCTCACTAAACTGGTCAACATGGGCTCACACTTTTGACCCTCCTGCCTCAGCTACCCGGGTGCAGCGCTGGCAGGCAGATGCCCCCGCACTCACCTCGCTTCTGCAAAGCGTTTCCTTCCCCCCAGCTGCGAGCCAGGCCCCCGGAGAGCCTGGCGGTTTCGTTCTTCTGCCCTGCACTGTGCTCTGTCTCTTGGGCTTCTCAGTTCCTGTGGCCACGTCTCCTCTGCTCCTTTGCTCTTCCCCGTGTGTCCTTTTCCAGGACCTGGATCCCAGATCTCTGAGAGGCTGGATTCTGCTGCTGCTTAGCTCTCATTCATTTTGATTCCCCCTAGACACCCCCCTTTTGGGGGGGTCCTGGGGAATGTGCCAGGTGCCCACTCCCAGTTTGTTCTCCGGGGACCCTGGCAGCCAGGGTCACCCTCAGTGACCCTCGTGTCTGCTTCACCCAGGCATCTCCAGAGAAGCCAGGAAGTGGGCTGGAGGCTCCAACTCTGTTCCCTGCCAAGAAGAAGCAGTAAGGTTTGCTTTGTTTTGTTTTTCTGTGTCTCCCCTGCACATTCTTCACTGAACCAAGTACAGGATCATGGCAAGCGAGCGGCAGACACTGTGGCCTCTGAGCAGCCCACATCCTCTGGCTCTTTCTGCTCAGTGCGCGGTTTCGGGGTAAGAAGCTCTGGAAGTTGGACAAGGGTCTGCATCCTCTTTATGCCTTCCCAGGGAAAAGCTGGGAGCCAGGGGGCTCCTCAATCATGCAGCACGTAGGAAGACGAGTGATGCACATTTTTATACTACACAGCTTGGAGGCAGCTGGTTTCCTTTCGTGCTGGGCTGACATGGAGGAAACTGTTGTTGGTTTCTGGATTTCTCACAAAGGGAACTGACCGCACTGTTGCTGAGTTGCTGTCTCCTTGGGAAGCGAGAGTTTGGGCTTCCTAACCAACTCTCCTGCTGACGACGGTTTCATCCTTGAAGACAATTTTCTTGTAGCCTCCTAAATTTTTCTAGAGAAGTGGATGATAATTGTCTAGGTTTATCTCACACCGTCTTTCTACAGGCCACTTTTCAATCCAGTGGTTAATCCCTTAATTTTGCATGGTGTATCTTCATGTTTCTGAATTTCTATTTCTGTGTTTCTTGAAGTCTATAAAAACCATCAGAAGAAGAGAACCAAAAGAAGCAAAGCCAAGGTGTGAATACCTTGAATTACTGAAAGAATCATAGCAAACCCAGCAAATCCCCTGATTTTGGTTCTCCCCTTTCTCTATGCCTGGGACATGTCAAGACTTCTGTTTTTCAGGGGTTTAATAAATAATCAAACACAATGTAAAGAAATACCTGACCTCCAGCAAAAAAATGAACATACAAGATGTACTTCATTGCTGTATATACAGTTCATCACCTGACATATTCCAGGTTTGTTTCTAAGTTTATGTGATTGAAAAAATGAGTCACTGATCATGTTACTCAATGTCATCATTCAGATTGATGATATGATTTATAAATAGAAGCTATCAACATGTCAAAGTAGAAGAAAAATGAGTTATTTTTTGCTGTAACCTGATGCAAAACAAAACAAAACAAAAAACTCTATGTATGTAACTGAAAACTATGTATTTCCAAATTTTGAATAGGCCCCAAAACCTCTTCAGTGTGGCAGATCTAACACAAGGCATAAGATGATTAGGTGATGAACTAAAGAATCTCAACTTCCCAGCCCCCTACCTAGAAGAAATGCAAGTCCTCCACCACCATCTCTCGCCTCATCTTCAGCCACGGCTCACCCCTGATGGATCTTTCCTGCCTGGGTCCTAGGTCCACTCACCCTGTGAGGTCCATTCTGCCCCAGGGTTTCTACACAAGATGGTACTATGCCCAGAAGGCTAACACATCTCAGTCTGGCTGCTTCTGTGTTCTCCAGAGGTCCATTCAAGTGTCACACTCTCATTGAAGTCTCCCCAGTCACTATTCTGGTGTGGGTATGGGTGTGGTCCAAGTGTCCTAGTATCCACTGGGGTCAGAGGTTTGGTCCTCAGGGTGGTGCTAAGATCCTGGGGTCATGTCCTTGGAAGTAAATGCAGGCAGTTACTCTCTTTGCCTTTCAGTCTTGGTGTTGCAAGCTCTTTCACATGCAAGTGCTCCCACCACCATTGACTGTAACTGGGAGTACTTCAGCAGACCTGAGCTGAGGTAGCTAGTGTGTCCTTGCAACTCCAGAACTGTGAGCCTCATTAACCTTTTCTCTTTTTAAAGTTTGTTGTATCAGGTATTTCATTATAATAATGTGCAACCGACTAATACACTGTCTAAAATTTCTAACTCCACACATGTTCGTGTATTTGCCTGCCTGTTTCCCATTTCTAATGTTTCTCCTAGAATGTGTTGTCCAGCCAATTACTTTCTATTTTGTCGTATTCATTTTCTGCTCTCACTCCTGCTAGAATGCACATCTCAAGACTTATATTTTTTCATTTTATTTACTATCTCTGCTCTAGGAACAGAGTCAGTTACCTGTTCTACAGAGCCCACTGCAAGCCCAAACCATGGGGCCTTTACCTTAAAAAGTGACTTGGAGTCTCAAGCCAGTGGTGGCACAATGCTGAGCTATAGGCAGGACCCTGGGTTGCAGGTCCGTGAGCCTGGCCCTCCCAGCCCTGCCCCTCGAGATCAGCTGAACCACTGCACAGAGATTTCAGAAACCAACATTTTTGTCCACCTATTTCTACCTGAAGCTGTGAAGATGACACTTAGGTCATCAACATCAGAAGACACTCCTAAGTTTCTTTGACCAGGGCAAGGTGACTGAGCGCCTGGGAATGGATGGAGGAATAGGATGCCCCCCGCAGCCTCCTTATACACGCAGGACCAGGAAAATCATGTGTGCTTTCTTCCGCATGCAAACTAACAGACGCAAGAAACAAGTCTACGCTATGAAAGGTGATAGAAGTGATCCTCGATGAAATGATTTCTGAAAGGAACTTATTCAGGATTTAAAATTTTGTAACTGAGCACAGGTACATTTAATGAAATCAATTTTTAAAATTAAGGACAGAGAATTAAAATATCTACATAAACTAGAATTATTATTTATTTTTATTACATAATGTAAGATGACCCTTCCTTGCTCTGAAAAGAGCATTTCTTTGCCTTTTTATGCATTTTTATAAAAAGGACAATGTTTCTGAGTCAGGTCGTCATTTGAAGCACATCAAATATATTCCAATATTTGGCTTTAATTTCAGGATATTATAAAATTCTAATTTCTAACAGTAAATTGTAGTGAGAAGACTAATACTAAATTAATATTTTAATATTTAACATATACCAGTTTCCCCAAAAGTTAATTCAATTATTTAGTCACAAACATAATTATGTCTGGGAATTTATCATCAATCATATTCCCTTGGGATCATTACAGTTTCCTTGTTTGTTTGAGGACTGCGGTGGTCACAGCCTAACGTGAACCACTGTGATTGGCGCACGAGTCTCCCGGGAGATCCGTAAGGCTCAGCTCTGTGTGAGTCCAGCTGGGTCCTGGGGCGGTGACTCCTGGTACAGCTCCTGGTTCCTTGCTGTTCCTCTCTGGCACTGTGCCTTGCTCTGCTTTCTGGGCACCAGGAACTCAGCAGCTCTCTCCGCCCTGGCGTCCACCAGGTGTCTCTGCCTCAGAGCCGGCGGGCCATGGCCTCTGCATGTTTAAGTCCTGGGTGTGAGGCACTGCTTCCCAAAGATGCTAATGATGGCAACCAAGAACTGTGAGAGTCTAGCTCTTTATTCAGTACTACTCTTCATTGGCTACGTAGCCATCTGCAAAGTGCAGAATAACAGTTCAAAGAAGCTGGAACAACAAACTAAAATCCCCAGATAAAAACCATAGGTTGATATGTTATGAGCTTGAAAATATCACTTAACTTTAACTGTCTTTAATTCATGCCATGCATGATCTTATGTCAGGTCCCTTTAACCACATGAGACATAAAATAAGTGCATTGCATCAATGGTTTGCATACTTTTCTTACAATCAAGAGTTTATAAGAAGAAATTCTTCTTTACATAAGATTGATGAACGTGTCATGGAACATGGGTGTTCCCTGAAAGGCAGTTCAGGAAATGCTAGCCTGGAATCACCCCAGACTGATAACACAGCATGATGGAAAATGCGTGTGATTTGGAACTAGGATGGCCTTTGGGCTGAGAGAGACTTTTCCATTTAGATTCCTGGATTACTGGCACTTTATTTAAAACATGTTTTAAAGCCTGATCTTACTAGTTAGTGGGGGAAATAGTTGCTTATTAAATATTAGCTTTTTCTCCTCCTTCCCCCACTTCCCTGCTCCCCTTTGGGGACAGCACCCATTGGGCTGTTGGTCAGAACTGAAAGAAAAAACAAAAGAAAACAAAAAAACGAAATTCATTTGGACAGGAAGGGAAATTATTGGCTCACATAAAATTACAAGACTGGACTCAGGGCCCAGAAAACATAATTAGAGTTGGTTTTTCTCCATCTCTTTACTCTACCTTCTGTCATACTGGCTTTGGTATCCAGCATCAAATGGAGCCAGAGGTTGCCTGGAGCTCAAACCCAACATGCTCTCAGATTTCAGGGCTCACAGGAAAAGTGAGCATTTCTTTCATTTAAACTAACGAATAAGTGTTGCTGTAGTTTGGACAGGGTCCCAAGCAAATGTTCTGACCAGTCATCAATTATTGTGGCTAAAGGAATGGGCACATGTGGTTGGTCCAGGGTTGGTCCAGGGTCCTGTGCACTGTCTCAGAAATACTGTGCGTGTGTGTGTGTGTGTGTGTGTGTGTGTGTGTGTGTGTAAGTGCATGCGTGTGTGCGTGTGTTCTGCAAAATGAAGCATATGGAAGGGGAAACGGAGATGATTCGGCAAGTGGAATTCAGGTCAGCGTTTCCAGAAGAAAACCGAATAGATATCAGACATCATGTCACAGGGCCCCCAACAGATCCTTTCTCAGCACTCTGCAGTCACGCATGAGTCAAGCAGTCTTTCTTACCAGTTAAAGACAGTGATGTCCCCACAGTGCCCGGCTTTGTTGCTCCAGAATGTCCAGGAGACTGCAGCCTATCTAACCATCCATTATTTAAGGTCTCTTTACTTCCTTTAGAGTCGGTCAGGTTTCCTGCCGCATAGCTATGGTCTGGATCTTAAGTGTCCCCCACTTTCATGCGATAAGAGTTTGATTCTCAAGTTGGTGCTGTTGGAAGGGAGGGGTAATTTAAGAGGCGGCACCTAGTGGAGGAAGAGATGTCATGGGGTGTGGTCTTGAAAGGGGCAGTGGGAGCCTCGCCTTTCCACTGGCACAGGGTAGCAGTTTAGCTCTGCCACAGTCTCCTGCTATGATTTGCTGCCCACCTAGGTCCAACGCAATGAGACCAACTAACCCAAACCTGGGATCTCCCGAACTGAGCCCTTTCTCCATAGAAGTAGGCTGTTCCAGTTTTGGTTACAGTAGGGGAAAACTAAGGCACACACTCAAATGACTCTGCCAGACCTTCACACAGTCTGGGAACTCTCTCCCTTCCAGGCCAGCGCCCGGGTCTGCCTGGACACCCGAGCAGCAGTCACAGTATGTTGTGCAGTCCCTGGTTCGTTGCAGGTCTCTCCTCTGTTTTGTGTTTGATTTGCACTGAATTCTCATTGTCTAGCATTGAAACTGCCAAAGAGGAGTCTGTATGGATTTGTAAAGGGGTAGATAAATGATCAGATGAAGAGAATGAATATGTATGTCCCTCGGGAAAGACCTCCTCGGTAGCACTTGCCTTAGGGAACGTTGTAGCCAATTAATCCGAGTTGTAGTGCTAGATTAATATTAAGTGTTAGGAGTAAAGGTACACACTTTAGTCAGTTTTAAGATCCTGTTTGTTTCTTTTAGAGTATAAATAGTTATTCTGGTTTAGAGTTGGAGTGAGTCTGTCTGTCTCTTTCTGCTTCCCTCTCTCTCACACACATATATGCACACATGTATTTGCACACATATGTGCAAACATGCCCACACACTATACATATAGAAAACTAAACTATGAGCATGATTAATTAAAAAATAATATAGTACAACTTTTATTTTTGGTGAATTTTATAGAAGATTCCAAATGAGGAACAACTCACAGAAGGCCTTGGCCACATTTTTACCATAGCAAAATCTCTAGATACAGCAATTTTTCTGACAATTTATTTGACTACAAAGTATCTGGCAGGCTTCAGAGGAAAAAAAAATCATCCAGAGTTTTCAACAGAAGGAACTTCTAAAGGTAGATGAAGCCAACGCATTTCAAGGGAAAAAAAGTAGATTAGCCACCAGTGAAATCTCGCCTGTCCCGGGAAGATTTCTCCCCCCTTGAATTTTGCTGAAGCAAGGGTTTCATCAATTATTCCATGAAAATATAAAAGTGCTGTGGGCATACAGTTCTCCCTCTTAAAGGAGAAAGTTCTTTTTAAATTTAATTTTAAATCTTACATATCTAGAAATACACGAGTCATACATGAATGCTTCATCGTAAAGAAATGCAAAAATCCACTTTGGTCTGAAGCGTTTTGGACTCCATTTGATCTAAGCCTCCCTTCCACACTGGTGACTGTTTCTACCTGCAAGCACTGTCTGGGTCTCCCTGAAATCCTCATGCATTGTTTCCCGTACATCTCCCCATTCCTCCTTGTTGAAGCTGTGCTTCTCCACCGTAGCTCCCATCGTCTGGGGGGCACGCTGAGCGCCCCTCTCAGCACAGGGACCTGGCTTCCTAACCCTGAGCTGCTGCCCCTGCCCAGGCTGCCCAGAGCAGGAGTTCAGCCTCAGGACATGCGCTCCGGGCCTCTGGACCTAATCAGGTGAGGCAAGAACCCAACGACACTCGCAGTAGCGGGAGCCACAGAGGTGACCACCACCGGGCAGCTGTGACCATACCTGGCCGGCTGTCCTCCCGTTGTGCTGCGCAGCCTGGGTTCCTCATTTCTTCCCGCGCTTCCTCCTGTCCGGTCCTCCACTCACCTGCTCCCTGTTCCCGCAGGTTCCAGTCCAACAGCGAGGAGCCTGGGATTCTGGAAAGCCCAGTGTGGAGGTCAGAACTGGTGGTTTTTCTAGCTCTTATGGTCTACATTTTCCATATATTTTTCAATACACCAATAGATGTGACTTCTATAATTATATGCTCTTCAGATTTGTATACTCTTGGATTTTAAAAAATCAAATCTGAGTTTAATTTAGTAGAAATTATTTTAACCCAAGTAATCACACAATTTTTTTTTTATTTCCTAGGCTTCCTCTTTTTTAGTGGACCACATCTTGGTTAATTAAGATAGTAATTAAAGTAGACCCTGAGAAGTCAAGGTCATGTGTTAAACACTTAAAGTAACTACTAGAAATATAGTCAGCAATGTTTAAAAGTGTTAATGGCTCAATTCTCCTTCAGCAAAATCTGCAGATGTTAAAATATCTTAATGTCGGGGCTGGGGATTTAGCTCAGCGGCATAAGCGCCTGCCTTGCAAGCAGGCAGTCGTGAGTTCAATCCCTGGTACCGATAAAAATGGAAAAGACAAAAAAAATATATATCTTAATGTCAACTCCATTAAAATAGTTGAGTAGGTTTTTTTTTTTTTTTAACAACTTGTCTTGCTTTTAAAATATGCAGAGAGATCCTTACTTTTGAAAGTCAGTGCACCAACTTAATAAAGGACATTCATGAAAAACACATGCTTGAGACCATATTCCATGACGAAAACCTCAAGCTGTGTCCCTAACACCATGACCAAGTCACCGTCTTTCACTGTTGCTGTTGAGCGCTGAGCTGAAGTTCCAGCCTGAGAAATCTGACAAGAAAGAAAGATTCCAAATCTATATCATAGAAGTAAACCTCTCGGGAGATGACATGATCCTACACACACAAATCGCAAATAATCCATAAGAAATCTAATAAAACCAGCAAGCAAGTTCAGGAAAGTCACCGGATGTAGGATCAATACATAAACCTTGATTGGGTTTCTATACACTGGCAATGAACAGCTGAAAAAAACCAAAAAGCACTTTCATTTACAATAACCTCTGAAATAACAGAATTCCTAAAAGTACATTTATTTAATGAGGTAAGAGACTTTTATGAGAACTATGAAACTTTGCTAAAAGAAAGTAATGCTCACGTAATGCATGAATAGAAACTGTTCATGGAGAGAAAAACTTAAATATTTTGGGTGTTAGCTAGATAGATACCCATGGTAAGTATTTTATTTAAACTCAACTATATAAATTTTTATTATTTGGCAATTTTATGTAAAAGCACAAGGCCTTTCCTTTAGGATAGTTTCACTTTTTTTTTTTTTTTTTGTCTTTTCCTTTTTATCGGTACCTGGGATTGAACTCACGACTGCCTGCTTGCAAGGCAGGTGCTTATGCCGCTGAGCTAAATCCCCAGCCCCTAGTTTCACCTTTATGGTATCTTTTTTCAAGCAGTACTGTGCTATACCTACAATTTTCAATTTTAGTGTCTCTACAGTGAAGCTAAGAACTTAAAGATATTGTTAAAAATTTGTCTTCACTGTCCTTTAGATTTTTGCAAATTTTAACCCAATTTTACTGTTATTTTTAAGTGGTATGCATTACAGATCCCTCCAGCTCATTTAATTTGTTCCAATACAATCTTGCTTTATACTAATATTGTGTTGAGAGTACTAAGTGCGCACATGGGGCACTACCAGGAACTTGGGACAGTTGTACTCTGAGTTCAGTCTGGTCTTGGGCTCACTTTGCAGCTCAGGTTGGTCTTGAACTCCCGGCAGTCCTCCTGCCTGCCTCATCCTCAGACGTGCTGGGGTTACAGGTGTATGCCACCATGCCTGTGTCTCAGAAGAGGGACTTTTCAAAAACAGCACTCAGCTGGTGGGAGCAGTAGGGATTGGTGTACTGTCAGTTCCCTTCTGACTGTGAGTTAGGATCAAGACAGAATCCAGAAAATGGGAAGGGGCCCAAGCCGAGTGTCCGAGAGAACTTTTCCTCCCTGTCTCCTATTCAGAACTAAACCTAAGAAATCTAACGGGGCTCTGCCGATTCCGCACATTTTCTGCTATGCTTCCCGAGGATGACCCTTCCCTTTCTCTCCTCACAGTCAGGAACTCCTGCGAACCTCTGGGGTTTCAACATCCTCCCCCACGACCCTGAAGCACCCCCAGGTCCTCTCTCGGTACTGCTCAGGGCTGCACTGGGGCCCTTCCCTGAAACCCGCCCCCCCCCTCGCTCCTTCTCTGTCCTCTGGGCCTGACCTTCATTCAGCAGTGAACCCTGAGCTCCGTAATTTCTACCATGAGGCCTTTGCTCCCAGAGACTCTGCTCCATTCTTTGCAAATCTGTTGAATATTTTTGGTGCTATCTTCTTTTATTTAGATTTCTGTGGCTTCTTTGATCTCCTCAGCCATTTAGAAATGTTTTCAATAATAATAATCTCTTTAATCATCTACTGTTAGCCTGTTCTTCAGGTGTGATTCCCCACCTGTGCTGTCTGCAGACTCCTGGCAGACTGGCTGGTTTCTCTAGGGACACGGCTCTGGAACTGCCTACCTGGCTTCCTCACCTGGCCCTAGACTTGTGGCCAGCTGGGCTGCAGGACTCTGGTGTTCACCTCCACCCAGAAACTGCATAGTTGGCCACATGGCTATCGATTTCATAAAGAAAGCCAAGTTTACTACTCAAGGAGAACTTTTTAGGTTTCTATCACTAAAAACAGAGATGACTAATGGAATTCACCTTCAGGCTCTCCCAGGCTTACACACAGCCGAGTTACTGAGGGAGGCTAATGGGCAGAGTGTTCCGTGCCTTTCTCTTAGGGCTGTCTGCTGCTAAAAAGTTCATGTCAGAATGTCAGCCTTTTGTTTCATTTCACCAAAGGCTTTTTTCAATAATAACAGAACACAAGAGAGCACAGGTCTTCTACGTCAAAATCCACACGGACTGTCATCAGCTACTTTTCCCGCTGGGGTTCTAGTTTCCTTTATATTTCTGGAAACAGAGGACTTGCTAGTTTACATCTGTCTTTATTTTCGAACTCTATTATTTACTTGTTAGTTTGCACCAATGCAGGTTATTTTTTCTGTTTTTGTTTTTGAGGGGTGGGTGGTTTACAAAGGAGACCTACATCTACTTACCAAGCGGCCACAGATCACTTCAGGATGGACGGCTTTTTTAAGGGAAGTTTATAACTAAACACCAGGCCGATTAAGTTTGTTGAGCATCTTCTAAATCTCCTTCCGGGTGCCTTCCCCCCTGTCATGGTGATTTGCCTGTCTCCCCACACTTTTGACCACTCTGTGTATCACCAGTTTGGGGGGAGTTTTTCCCCTGTGCTGCCTAATTTTACTTCTCCTCACTACCGGTGGCTCTGGGAATTTCTTCACTGTTATTTGAATTTAAGTTCATTTTGTGATTATTCATATTTCTCGTGAAAGGTCAACACGCTTGCCTGCCATCCCTCCTAGCTTCCTTTCTTCAATGGATGAGGAATCCAAAGGCCTGCAGACCTCACCGTCTCCTCCCCCGACCGACCCCAGGCAGCTGGTGGGGGAGCCACTGTGCCCATTGTGCAAGGATGGTTCCCTCAGAAACAGAAGGAGTCTTCAAATGATGTCCAGGTTCCACAGTGACACAACTCACAGTCACCCTCGGGGGGGTGCTGGGTCTGAGTCCTGGAACAATCCCCTACGCAGATCCCAAACCCCCTAAGAAATGTACAAGGTCTCCCCAGAAAACAAATGGAGATCGGGAGGTGGGCCTCGGACCTCTCAAGGGGATGAAGAAACTCTTCCTCCCCAGGAGAGAATTTTATCGTCTTAGAAACTGTTGGAACTTGGGGGCTGCAGACTTTTTTCTAGCTTTGAGCGCACCAAGGTGAACTGAGGAAATTTGGTCACTGCAAGTTGGTGTTATTTAATGAACAGATTGGATTAATTGCAAAAGACCCCAAAACTGAAAGTCCTGATTTTTGTCCCAGCAAAACCGATAAGGGGCTGGGGATTTAGCTCAGCAGCATAAGCGCCTGCCTTGCAAGCAGGCAGTCGTGAGTTCAATCCCTGGTACCGATAAAAATGAAAAAGACAAAACAAACAAACAAACAAACAAACAAACAAACAAAAAAGGATTGGCACTAAAGCTTGGAAGGCTGCTTCTGCTGGTGGGAGCTTGGGCAGTGCAGCTGGGGTCCTTCACAAAGAAAAAGAGCTGACCGGAGGGTCACTGGTACAGCTGGAGGCCGGCCCGCTTCCCGTGATAACGTTCAGTGCTTTTTTCAAAAACTATTTACTGAAGTCAGAAGAGAATGTGGATATAAAAGGATGTACCACACCAGGTGACAAGTTGTGGTTTACAAGCACAGAGGAAAGAGGAGCCTTCTGTTGTCATAATTAGCAAATGTTATCTTAACAGCTCCGAATTTAAATAGAAAATGATTTCTTATGACAGTCCCTGCCTGCCCTGTCCTAGGTGCTCTGGCCATTGCCAGGAATTAGTTCAACCAATTCTTTCCATCTCTTCAACTGCAGAACGCATCCCATGTGTAAGGGAACTTCTCAGCCAACCTGTAAACCCAGCAGACGGTGCAGATGATGTGTACCCACACGTGCACACAGGATATATTTTTGGAGAACAAATCAGACTCGTGTAACACCTATTTCAATATTTTATTATATTTAATTTTAATTTATTTATTCATAAATTTAACCTCTGTAAGAACACCCACTATTTAAATTAATAGACAGGTAAACAGCACCGACAAAAACGCTGCATTTCCTGCGGCAGATAACTGACATGCATGAAGTCATTGTATTAAAATATTGATATTCCTATTGTTTGGCACAGATGGTGCCAGTAATTAATATTATGCTGATTTTTTAATTAGGGATTCCCTGCTGGCAAAACTCAACATTGTTTTAAAAGGCTGCTCCTTTATAGTATTGGAGGAGATGATGTATAGCTGATATATTTTTCAGGGATAATTTTTTCAGGTGCAAAATATGTAAACTCTTAATGGTCAAAGCATCATTGAAGTTACCATTATGTAAT